GTGCTTTTTAATTTATACAAGTTTTTTATTTTATTATATAAAAAAGACATTTTTTAAATATAAAATGAATAGGATTAGTGAAAAAGGTTTTTGAAATCAAAAAATTCCAATTGTGCATATATCTTGAAAACTTACTTTTGTTATTATTATTTTACATCTTGCATTTTATAAATTTTGTTTTAATTCATTTTTAACATTATTATTTCTAATCTTATAATTTTAAGATTTTTGTTGTTGTTGTTTACTACAACTTAGAATCAAGAGGAGCATGAATACTGTGTTGTAAATGAATAAATGGGTATTCTGGATTTATCCTTGATAAATAAAATATTAGGGTGTGTTGCCATTTATCAATATAGGAATATCAACAGTTTTACAATAACTGTTAGCAGTAAATAACTGAGTTTTGTTTGGGTATAAATTTGCAATCCATTGTGAACCCTAAGCTGTCTTGTTAATGAGTTCAGATTAAAGACTGACTGCCTGTTGTCAGCAATCAAAGAGTGATAATTTTTTTTTCAAAACTGGAATATATAGTTTTGTTGTTTGCAAATTGAGATATTTTGGTAATATAGGTGAGGAGATGATAAGATGAGAAGAAAATTAACATAGCCAGGAAGATTATTAGTAAAGATAAGAAACAAGACAAGACTTGAATTACTTCATTAAAATGAAAAAGAGTGTTGACCTTTTTTAATTAATTTTTTGCATTAATAAAAAAAGATTTGTACTCAAGAAAGCTTCTTGTAAAAAATAGGTTCATTCTCAAGAGAGTTGTTCTTGTGAAAAAATAAGTTTGTTCCAAGATAGTTGTTTTTGTAAAAAATAGGTTCATTCTCAAGAAAGTTGTTCTTGTAAAAAAGATAAAAAATGATTACAATTAAAAATAGCAGCTGTATAAGAAAGAAAAAGCCATGTGGACGAACAACTCTGCAATGTGGTAAAATGATTCTTGCCTTAAAACTGACAAGAAGAAATAAAAGTTTCCTTACCTGCCTGGATTCTGTGAGCGTATTCAGCAAACTTTTTCTTGAGTAAGTTTAGCATAAGTTCAAAATAGTAAAATTTGTATTCACGAAACTTATGCAGCTGCATTAAATAAAACTTACGTAAGTTTTTTTTTAAGCACTAAAAAATCGGTATTCACCAAGCTGAAATGGTATTCAACAAGTTTTTTAAAAACTTGCTCAGTTTAATTTGAGCAAGAAAAGTTACATTAGCTATGAGCTGCCTTAACTTTGACATAACGTTAAATTTACTAAATATTAGAAATGGTATAATATTATTATGATTCATATATTGTCAAATTTATATAGAATCTTATTATAAATAATTAATATATACAATTTATGTATAATATACATAAATTGTATATATTATAATTTATACAATATATATTTATAATATATACAATTTTATATATTCATAATATATACAATTTATATACAGTATATAAATTGTATATATTTTAATAAAGTTATTAACAATTATAGATATTACCACAAATATAAATGCATCATAATAATTTAACAACTTATTAACTTAATAACATCGCAATATTAAAGATGTTATATTATTATAAATTATAGTAATAAAACATTGTATAATAAAATATCATATTATTGTTATATTTTTGTATAATATTATCAATTTATTATCTTATAATAGAAATATAACAGCATAAATTAGGATCTTGATATATTTAAATTGTATGCATTATGATGTGATTTTTTTTTTTTAAACATCTTCGCTTCCAACAAGGCTTTAAGCAACCGCTAATTAAAGTTGGAAGTTACTAGAAGAGAAAAGATGAAGATTGTAGAGCAAGATATCGATTGACAGACGATTTAAAAGATTGTAAATTATATGAATTAGGAAAGCAAGATGAAATAAGTGAATTCCAAAGAACTGATGTTCAAGGAAAAAAACTAGTGGAATAAGAGCTTTTGGAGCACTTAGGAACAGTCATAGAAAAAGGATGAGACTTAATTGAATGACAAGTAACACGAGAATGAATTTTAGTAGATGGCACAAGAGACGCTAGCTCTTTAGAGCATTATAGTATTTGTTGAAAATTTGCCCATTATAGTATTTGTAGAAAAGAGAAAGAGAAGCGACATTACAACAATGTGATAATGGTTGAAAGTTGGCTGCAAGAGCAGGTCCAACTATGTTTACAATGCATTTTTGCACCTTGTCCAAAAGAGAAAGGGCATAATTAGAAGATTTGTCCCAGATATGGCAACAGTATTCCACACAAGACCGAATTTAAGATTTATGGAAATAGAAAATAGAATCCCGAGTAAGAAAGTGTCAAGCTTGATAAAGAGATGCAACTTTAGCATATGCTAATTTTGCAATGGATTTGATATATGGTTTCCAAGAAAGATCGGAAGTAAGAGTTAATCCTAGAAGATGAAGGGTAGATGATTCATCGAGTGCATTGCCGTTCATAAATATAGGAAGGTTTAAATTATTGTGATAATGATTGGCTAAAAAAAAATTGAGTGTTATCTGAATCAAAGTTCACCAGCCACTGTGAACCCCATGCTGTAGCGGAAGTGAGATCCTTTTCAAGCTCAAATGCCCCCTCCGAGCAATCAGAGAGAGTTGGCTTCTTTTCATGACAAAAATGAATCATCATCAGCGAACAATGTCACCTTAAATGTGAGAATATCTGAAAGATCATTAATGTAAATTAAAAAGAGTATAGGGCCAGGGATTGAACCTTGAGGAACCCCTGAGGTTACAAAATAAGAAGAAAAGTGCTGTCCATCAAGAACAACTTTTATACTACGATTGGAAAGGAAGGATTCAATAATCTTAAAGATGTTTCCAGATACACTGTAAGAAGAAAGCTTATGAAGAAGTCCAGCATGCCAAACTTTATTAAAGATTTTCCAGGAGTCACAAGAGCCTAATTTTTGTGATGAAATATGAGATTTTGTGACCTGAGAATAGCGGGCTATGGCAGTAAAAAAAATCTTTTTACAATGGTTCCTAGCAGTAATAAACAGATGTTTGTTTTCTGGTGAATTGTTTTGCTGATAGATATGGAAGTAATGGTTTCGATTGACAATTGCAGCAGCACAATGTGAGGAAAATCATGGATAAGATTGAGGCTTGACCTGGAATGGTCGAGAGGGAATAAAGGATTCCATGCCAAACTGAATCCACGAAGTTATGTAAGAAGCACATTTGTCAACAGGAAGACGAAAAATTTCTACCCAAAGGCCATCATAAAGAAAATCACAGAAAGAGTCCCAGTCAGCTTTAAGGTAGTTGTAAGATGAAAAGATAAATGATCCAGGTTCTCTGGAAAGCGAGTTGGAAAGTTGACTATTTGAGTTTAGGATTGAGAAAGGCAAAAGTTATAAGCTTTAATGCCTGCAGAGTCACTGACACTAGAGCCAAGCTATTAAGTGCGATAAACATTAAAGTCACTTACAACAACAATAATTGCTGATGGAAAAAAAGAAAGGGCTTCGTTAATATGATCAGAAATAACATCAAGAAGAGTGCAGTCTTGAGGTGAAAGATAGATTTTTTCGTGTCCACCCGATATATCCACCTGATATATCGGGTGGACACGAAAAAATCTGGTCAACTTTAAATTGAGATTTCTCTAAAACCATAAATACTTTTTATTTCAATTTTTTTATTATTAAATGTGTTTACATAAATTTAAGTTTCAACTGAATTTTAAGGGGCTTTTTTTGGAAGTCCTTTTTATTACTTGTTAGTCCACCTGTCTTACGAAGAACTCCTTTAACTATTGCCCAAAAATCTTCAATCTTGCGCTCTTCAGGACGATTTGGAGGCTTCGCACCTTTAGGAACAATTTTCACATTATTATCTTTGCACCACTGTAAAACCTTTTTAGAATAGTGAGAGGCAGCAAGATCAGGCCAAAAGAGACATTGGTATTTGTGTTTTTTTATAAAAGGCAAAAGTCTTTTTTGGAGGCATTCTTTGATGTAGAGATTGGCAGTCAAGGTCTTTTTAGTGAAAAAACAAGAGGACTGCATACCACAGCTACAAATTGCTTGCCATACAAGGAACTTGGATGCAAATTTTTCTTGTCGAATATATTTAAATTGATCATCTACAGGTTTATCTTTGTTTTCATAGTAAAACTGTTGACCAGCAAGTTGTGAAAAATGCGCCTTGCAATACGTTTCGTCGTCTTCAATTATGCGCATATTTTTATCCGCCATTATTTTAACCAACTTCTTTGCGCGTCGAATTCCTTTAATTTCACAATTTAATCTTCTCTTAGGTGTATTTTTTTTATGAAATGCTTTAATTCCAGCATTTTTAAGTACTTTTTCGATATAAGAACGAGAATTCTTAAATTTTCTTGCTATATCTCGCTGTGACTGATTTGGATTTCTTGCTATTGAACGTAAAATTGACTTTACCTTTTTGGATTTATGGAAAGTGTTTTTTCTTCCACTTCCAAGTATTCTTTTGAAGCTTTGAGTAGTCTTGAACTTGTTTATAATATCTATGACTGTAGATTTTGAAACATTTGTGCGTTTAGCAATCAAGTGATAGGAAGTCGATGGATTTTTGCAAAAAAAAATTACAACTTTTTTACGCACCTCAACTTGTTTCCAAAACATTTTGCAAATCATTAATTTGTAAACAAAAATTTATCAACACCATTTAAGATAAGGAAGTAAGGTTTAATTAAAAAAAAAAATTAAATAAAAAGCATTTGTGGTTTTGGAGAAATCTCAATTTAAAGATGACTGGATTTTTCCATGTCCACCCGATAGAACAAAAAGAAAGGCGATAGAGTGAAGTGATGCTAAACGAAAAGTACATAAAAAAGTAGTCTGTGGGTTCAAACCTAGTTTCCCAACAAATGGGTGAATTCTTACGAATGTAAATGCCCAGGCCAAGAATGTGACTTTTGAAGTCTTTATGAATTAAAGGAAGATAACCATCAACACTAAGATCACAAGATGAGATAGCTGAACTCAAACTAGTCTCAC